ACCATCATTGCCACACGTCACAGTGTCTGATAACAGGCTTTGTACCAATCAGTGGCCGTAATCAAACGTCTCGAGTCAGTGACAACTAAGTTTCAGGTGCTTCAGTCATGCAGGCTTCAGAGGGAGGCTGAATTTTCCATTTTTACTGAAAGTCCTCAATTATATTTTTCAACGAAAAGCTCCAAGCAAGAAATCTGGCAACATTTTGCGTTGTTATTGGATCTGGGGGCTTTCCGAGACTTCCTTCAGAGAATCACTGCAGACTGCAAATGAATGGTACAAATGCATGCTTTAACCATATAAACAAAAGTTCTGCATTTTCTTCGCAGTTGAAGAGATGGAGATGGCCAGAGAAATTGCCCCACCGGGCTTCAGATCAAGACGCAATCTAGATGATGAAAACTCCAACATGGAAAGAATCAAACTGCCTCCATCTGTCTCGTGACAACAAGCCAGATGATTTGTTGAAAAAGTCTGAGGAAGATTCCCAGGAAGAGTTTCAAATCTCACAATAAACACTTCCTTGTCTTGAGCATTTGAAAAGTTTCCTGAGTGTCTTCAGAACACATCTGTACAGGCTCTTTTTTTCCTTTTTCCAAGCAAACTTTGAAACACACAGACTGCATTCGATTTTTATAACGCAAAAATTGGGAGGGTCATTAGTAGTTGAGGTTAAGAAAAAAGAAAACATACAAGTAAGATCAATCCTTGAAAACGATGAGCGAACACCACGCTGTGCCCTACGTTGTACTGAACAGAGAGATGACGAGACATCACCGTGTATTACAATCATGTCGTGCGATTTTGCTGGAGCAGCTTATAACGTGAAATGTGATCGTAACAAGACAGGAGGGTTTCGCTGCTCTTTCTTATGGGGCAAGGCTCTCGACTAACTAGTTGCGCTCCAACTTTTTTCCTTTGGTGCACCAGCACAAATTTTCCACTGCATGGCTTTCAAAACAAAACAAAAAAAAAAAGTTTTCTCAGTTCACACCTTTTTTTTCAACAATTTTACTGCCTGTCTTTTTGGGTCATGCTGAGGGTTAAATGGGTCGGGGGTTCCTTTTACCCGCAGTAAAAGTCATCACAAAGAAGTCCTTAAATCACTTCCCTTGAATTTTAGTGTTGACATAATTTTACATACAGAGCTGGCAAACGGTTCAGGGTGTCCCCCGCCTACTTCCTGAAGACGGCTAGGACAGGCTCCAGCATGGCCCGCGACCTTTGTGAGGATAAAGCAGATCATAAAATGGAGGGATGGATGGAGGTATTCAATGTTCATTTCCTTTGAAATTCATTCCATCAGCACATTGCAACGTTTTTGTTTTTTTCACCACTCACACCCATTCCATTCGAGGCATTTACTTGAAATGATTAGCTGACTTTGATGCCAAGCTTCGCCCAACATTAGATGGTAAATAAAAACAGCTTGGGACTGTTCTGCAAAGAGCAATGACCTATTTTGCAAATGACATTTATGTAACCAGCATCTTAAAATGTGATTTGCTTGCCTGTTCCAAGAATGTTGTCGGTATCTTGCCGATTCCTGATCGGGACAAAATGGGGAAAAAAAAGAAAAACGTGGGGCACCCAGTTTTTGGGAGGTTGAAAAACTGATGGTTGACACATTTCGGAGACGTGACTATCAAATGTATCACTACGCGATGCGCTGCCAGCATGCAACCATTCAGCGTTTTGCATCACCCGCCTACCGAGCAGTACGTCGTTCAAAAATGGCAACAATCGCACAAAATCTTTCCAACGGCCATCTTTGAAGCACATCTGGAAATGACTCAAATGACTGCTTCCGAGCAAATTCGCAGAAAAAAAATGTAAGTATTTTCAGGCATCCTTCACAATTTTGTATTACCTCTCTTTTATTGGCCATGCATTTTGAGACTTTTTTTGTTGGTCTGCTCATGATAGGCATGTGTACCAAATTTTATTTTGCACCGTGATAATGGCTTTGGGGGATGAATGATTTTAAATACTCCACTCGGGGAGGATTGACCGTGTCAATTCAAAATGGCTGAATGCCTGTGTCTTTTTTGGCATGGGTTTGTCAGACTTTTTAAATAATAGACATACCTGTATCTAATAAATTTCTGGTTGCGAAGCCAAATCGATTTCAGGGGCTGAACTAAAAAAAAAACAAAAAACAAAAAAAACATCTCATTTGGAGAAGTTCATATTTGAAGGCAACATAGGCCTGGAATAGCCTGTCTAGTATACACGTGTCAAATTTGATAGCATCCAGACAAAATCTCTTAAACCTGTTTCTGTTTTAGGCGTCCTTGAAACGTACAAAATTGTCTAATTCGAAGTAAAACAGCAGATTTTCCGTTTATTTTCGGGCACAGATTCTTGAGGCTTTGGGGTGGGTCAATCGGCATGGAGCGAATGTCAGATATAATTGACCTCCCGGTAATTGTCTAATTAAACCTCTGAGGCAATGAAAAAGCTTGCAGGTGCACGAAACAAACAACTCCACTTCATAATTGTACTCATTACAGTGGCTGAAATCAAACCCCTCCTTAAAAATAAGCTAACCAAGAACCAAATGCTTTATGGCAAACCAATATTGACCCTTCCATTTCCGTCAACATGAAAGTTTCTGTTTCCTAGCCATGTCTACCAATCGCAGACAACCCAACTAAGTTTCAGGTGCTCGAAGAATATAGGCTTCAGCGGCTGAATTTTCAATAATTGAACGTTTAACCGGATATCCTCAATTAATTCTCTCCTCAAAAAACAACGAGGAAGAAATCTAGCAATATTTTGTGTTGTTGTTGTTGTTGTTGCTGTTGGAGACATCCGAGGACTCCCGAGACTGCCTCCAGAGAACCACTCCCAAGTCTAAATGCAAATGGATAATTTCACAAATAAAAAACATTTCTCCAATTTCGTTGCAGCTGAAAAGAAGGCACGGTCCGACCAAGAGGCCAAGGACGTATTCCCACCAGTCGTCCAATCACGACCCAATCTACAGGACAAAAAAAAATAATCCTCCGTGGCAAGAATCGGACTGCCTCCATCTGTCGGGTGACAAGCCAGATGATTTAAGTATGGTACACTTCAGGACGAATGGACCGAAGGATTCACCTTTGTGGAGAGAACAGGTTCTGCGGTGTGTCTAATTCGCAATGACAAAATACCATCGATGAAATGGTCGAATGTAAAGCGGCACTTTGACACGCGCCATGCTACGTTCGCATCAAAATACCCTGCGGGAGACCGCAGAAAGGAAGCGTGCAAGCTCCTGAAACGGGTGCAAGCTCGCCGCGTATAATGTGGCTCTCATTGAAATCCATTTTTTTTTTCTTCAGAGCACCAGCATAAAAGTTTGTGTCAAAAAGGTTCCTGACCCCCGGTCTAGAATAACGGATTGCATTGGCGCCCAACTTTTTTTTTTTTCTTCAGAGCACCAGCATAAAAGTTTGACAGACGGAGCCCCCTTTTTAAAAGCAAACAATTTTACATACTGAACATTGCATTGCAATGCAGGACAAATAAAATATCGCACGTAAATCAACAAATACAAGTTTAACAGACTGAGGCTCCGTTCACAGAAAGTGGAATAAAGCCCAAGAGGCAGACAAACATTCTCTGGCAAGTTTAATGCATGTCACGTCAATGATATCGTTTCATATTGAGCAGTAATCCAAATTGTGCTGGCTATACAATAATGACTGTCAACTCGGGCTGCCAACAAAGTTGTTTTGCGAATCAATTAGTCACCGACAGTAGTTGCAATTTGTCAACAAATCGAATCATGGAACGAGTTTGTGAGTGCGAAATTCACAAGTGATCTCAGTTTTTCCTCTATCGCGACAATGCTTGTGGAGGCTCTCAGTCGTACAGGAAAGTTCCATCGTAGAAGGGGTTCCGTCAGTCGTCATCTGTACCTGTGGGTAAAAAACAAAAACAAAAAAAACAAAAAAAAAAAAAAAAGGACGTTTCGCTTCTCTCACAGCGGGAATTCCCGGAGTCTTCACGGAGACTTCAGAGTTGTCTACCGCTGACGAAGCTTCTGTGAGAGAAGCGAAACGTCCTTTTTTGTTTTTTGTTTTTTACCCACAGGTACAGATGACGACTGACGGAACCCCTTCTACGATCTATCACGACAAGTTTTTGAGCTATAGGATCCCCATTTTATTCAAACATGAAATACACGAACCGGAATAAAATGCTAAGATGGAATCGTTACAAGCTTTGAAAACAAACACACACAAAAAAAAAAAAAAAAAAAAAAAAACCAGAATAAACTAAATATGTCCAAGGTTATGAGAAAAGCCAGCACTAACAGTTTTAATTCCTACTATCCTAGCTTTCTGTTTGCAGATATTGACAGTATCAACCTTGTGGGAGCTGCACACACCTCTCACCAAATCGTCTCAATTTTGCCTCTACAAACAAGTTTCCACACACAGCTATAGAGAAATCCAATCGTAATCAGCTCTTACTCCAGTCTTACGACAGCTAATCAGTAGAATTTTGCTAATCTGAAGGATTCGTTTTGATCTCCACAGCTAATTTGTGGAGAAAAAAAAATACTTTACAGCAATTTTGGAATCAGCATGCCAAGTTTAGTTTCATTCGGTATTAAAATATAACTCAACAGAATTTTTTTTTTCCAAAAATTGTTCCCCAGCGTTATTGGTTGGTGCTCAGACCTCTGAGCCACTCATTTGAGCAAGCACCCCCACCAAGACTGAACAACGACATTTGCATTGCACATCAGAATTTTGTTATGAAAATGTCAACGTAATATTGAACAATGCTGCAGCACCTTTCTCATGGAAGCTTGGCACACTAAACAAGACTAAGCCGACTTGGCAGATGACATTCACATGATATATTCTTGTAAAACCTTATAATTTCGGAGGTGATTCGAAATCAAAAGAAAAGAAAAGCTTCATTTCCGTCTCGTGGCATTTGAAAAAAAAAAAAAAAAAACAATCAGAACCGGTTTCGATATTAAGTGGCACCTTGTGGATGTATGGTGCTTCCGTGGCATGCAACCACAAGCTCAAGTTGTGGTTGAGTGGTGGATGGTTGGGATGTTTGATATCCACCGAGCTTGGTATAAAAGAGCCCTGATTCAAATCGGCGGCAGACAGCGAGCTCGCCTTCTCCTGCCTTGAGAAGAAACCATGAGATTCCACGTCATCTTCCTGCTGCTGGCACTGGTGGCCATGCCCTCCCTTTCCATGGGTCAAGGTAGGCACCTCATTTCTTGCATGCAAAGAATGGAAGAAAAGCATGGGGAGGGGGGGGGTGACAAAATGGCAGCCTTTCGGTGAGGGATGGGGGGTTCCAGGCATGTTTTTTTTTTTGCATTGACCTGTCTCGTGTGTGTACGTTATTCAAATTTGATCGCAGTTGGACAAAATCGTTAGGACGGGTTTGTCTTTGCATCTTATTGGGTGTGACTTTTTTTCTTTTTGCACTCAATCACCTCACAATTTCGAAAATCAACTCCTAGCCTAGCCAACGGCCGTAAGTGTCTTAATTGTGCTCATAACTGACACCTGAGCGAGGCATGTGAAAAATCTTGCAGGTGCCCCAAGGGCACAAACTCAACTCAAGAGCGCCGTCAGTTCTCGACTCAATATTATTTATGGAGCACTTTCGAACAACCGTAGCTGCATACAAAGTGCCGTGCAACATCAAGTAAAAATCCGACATTTGAAACAACGACTTGTCGACTTGTAATTCTTCTTTTATGGCAAGTCATCAAACTTTACTGCTCTGCTCCAACGACACTCAATTCCTTCACAATTTAGGATTGGTCGCATAATCCTAATTTCAAATTGGTGGCTCCTGGACACCTCCCTGGTGTGGTGTTCAGGCATGACACAAATTGGAGGTGAGCCCACAGATTTTTGGTCGCTGGGCAACCCGCGCTACCAAGTGAGCCACAGCCACCCAGCTGGTGACCACAGCATGACCAGCACGAAAATACAACAAAACCATGCTAGTCTCTGCTGCTTTTTTTTTAACAGGGTGAGCTTGTGTTGGGAGGCAAAACACAGTGAAGTGACAACAAATTAAGTATCTACAATGAGGTCGTTGATGAACTCATACCGACTTGATGACCACCACTGCAAAGACTCCAGTCATTCAATCTCTACTGTCAACCCCCCTTGGCAGTCAAACAGAAATAGAAATTAGACAAACGGGTCTCTTGTCTACGAGACCAAAATGACCCAACAATACTAAGCTCGAAGCAAAATACAAGACTTCCTGTTTGTTTTTGACACTTTGTTTGTCAACTCATGATACACGTGCCTTACTAAAACCATTGTGAAGGAATAGAGGCTTTGCCAGCTGAATTTTCAAAAATCAACGTGCTTTTTATAACTTGTCATCCATTTATTTGGATGAGCAATAAATCTAGCAAGATTTTCTGTTGTTATGAGAGACTTCAGAAGATTCTTGAGACTCCCAGAGAAAACCTCCGTGCCCAGAATGCAAATAAAATGCGCTTGCGCTAAGCCACCACGCTCTATTTTAACAAAATCCACAAAAAGGTCGACAATTTCTTTGCAGACGATCCCGAGGAAGAGTTCGAGGAAGGTTCCAGTGATGATTTTGGCGATGGTCCCCTGATCGATCCCGTGGTCGATCCCATGATCGATCCGGTGTTCGATCCCGACTTCGAGGGAGAGCCTGGGCAGCCCGATCCTTAACTTGGATGATGGGGCATATGTATTTAACGCTGTGGTGCCGAGAAGTGTGCTAAACACAATGGGATGCATCGTAATTTAACAACTGCTCTGGGCGACAAAGATATGTCGGTGTTGGTCTTAATTTGGCAGTTTTGATTGGGCTTTAAACTGACAAAAGTGAACTAATGTCACAATAAACTTTTCTTTGGCACAAAAAAAAAAAAAGTTTCCACGTGTGTTTTATAACAGCAGTCCCTAATCCCCGGTCCGTGGGTCATTTGGTAACGGGCCGCACAGAAAGAATGAATAACTTGCATTACTTCCGTTTGATTCATTTCAGAAGCTGTTTTGTTTTGAAAAACTCTCCAATTCTCTGTTACATCCATCTACAGTATGTGTCTCTTGACGCAGGTCAAGGAGGGCTTTTCGGTCACGTGATGGGGTATCGCTAAAATGAAACCCAGGAGTGAGCAAAATGGGTAAAAAACAACATCTTTGGAAAGCTTCTTTGGGAAGGGGAAAAGGCACAGCCAGGAGACAGAAGAGGAGCCTTCGACTTTCAAGAAATAGAAGGCCACATTTAATAGACAGTATCAGGAGTCCTGCTTAAAATACGGATTTATCTCAAGAGCGGGAGATTCCCATGCACCAGGCCCACTCTGCATAATATGCGGCTATGACGAGTTGTATTTTTTTATGCACTTTGTATTTGCGATGTATCTTATTTTGAAGGCAGGTTTAAACGTTACCATAACGCCCAGAGGGTGTTGCAGCCAGATAGGACATTCCCCGTGTCGTGATTCCTGTTTATTATTCTGTTTAGAAAATATTAAGTGACCCAAGGCTTCACAGTTCAAAGTTCTCGAAGTTTATACTCAATCAGAATTTGTTTGATGTGTTCAGGACCCAAACCATTAAGTGATTTATTTTCCAATAGCAGAATTTAAATATCTATCCTACAGCTAATTGGGAGCCAGTGTAAAGCTTTTAGGACTGGAGTAATATATTGTGATCATAAGAATTTTTGAAACCATAACTTTTACACTTTTATGAGTAAAAAGCTTGAGCTGATACTTAAATTTCTAAATCTTTTTAAAACCCAATATCTATACTTCTACTTGAGGAATGAACGTGAATACTTTTGACACCTCTGAAACTAATTTAAATCCAAAGGAATTGTAATTTTAGTGCAGTGCCTCGATGTGGAAGGCCATGTAGGATTGGATTTGAAACTTGTTACCATGCCGCCATCTTGTCGCCGGACCTTCTCACTACAACGCGGCCATCAATAAAACGGCCATCCAGACCAGACAATTGGAACGCAAATGGAATTAAAACTACCTGGAGAAAAAAAAATCTTATGGCAATTTTGATATCAGCATGCAAAGTTTAGTTTTAATCGGCATAAAAATAGAACTTAACAGAATTTTATTTTTTTCAAAAATTGTTCCCCAGCGTTATTGGCTGTTGCTCAGACCTCTGAGCCACTCGTTTGAGCACGCACCCCCACCAAGACTGAACCACGACAGTTGCATTGCACATCAGAATTTTTCTTTGAAAATGTGAACGTAATATTGCACTTCCTCCTTGAACAACGATGCAGTAACTTTCCCATGGAAGCTTGACGCACTGAACCAGACTAAACCGACTTGACAGATGACATTCACATGATATATTCTTGTGGCACCTGTTAAGATATGATTCCTCTCTGTTAGCTGGATTTGAATGAAACAATGTAGAATGCTGTTGAAGGTATTTCCTGCTTACTGTGATTACAATCACCTTTGGTACCCCCTCACCCCCACTACTTTTATGACCCCTCCAGAGGACATGTCAACATCAAAAGAGGAACTGTTATCTCAAGTATCTGTGTTGCAGCTATTGAGGGACTGCGCTTTGCTATGAGTACTATTGATGTCAGTCTCTTTCCTGAACATTTGTTTGCACACTTAAAACAACATATGTGGTGTTAAAGTTTATCTTCTTCCTCCTTGTGCCGCCATCTTGTCGCCGGACCTTCTCACTACAACGCGGCCGTCAATAAAACGGCCATCCGGACCAGACAATTGGAACGCAAATGGCATTAAAACTACCTGGAGAAAAAAAAAAATCTTATGGCAATTTTGATATCAGCATGCAAAGTTTAGTTTTAATCGGCATAAAAATAGAACTTAACAGAATTTTATTTTTTTCAAAAATTGTTCCCCAGCGTTATTGGCTGGGGGTGCGCACCCCTAGCCCCCCGCTTGTGGAC